TCTCCTATTTCACTTACCAAACAAAACCTCCCAAAATCTACTCACCGAGGGTAAGTGGCATTTGACTCTTGCTTTTACTCCTTAGTTAATCTCTTCCCATTCCAATTCCACAATTTTCGCCTCTGCACCAACGCAAAACCTTCTTTCTCAAGCTTATCGATAGCACAGGGGAATCTTGCTCGTCGATTGGGAACCAAAGGTCGGCGGCAAGATATCGTTATTGAACGGCATAGTTCACCGGGCGGTGGCGCAGGAAATTGGATGGAGGAAGACGAAGAAGAAGAAGAAGAAAAAGGAGGAAAAAAAAACAAAAACACAGAGAAAGAAAGAGAGGGAGAAGGAGAGGAAGAGGGGAAGAACTTGACGGCGGCACTGTGGTTGTGTAATGTGTTAGGGCACAAATTGGAAGTAAAATAAATATTTTATTATAATATATAATTCAAAATTATCATATATTTATCAAAATTAATAATACTAATACTAATAAATTACCAATAATATATTAAATAATAATATTATACTACTTTTTTTATATTCAAATCTATTTTTATAATTATATTTAATACATCAATATTTTTAATTTTGATTTAATTATTTATAAAATTTATAAAAAATTCATATATTTTTTTTATTTAATTTAAATTATTTTTTACTAAATTATAATAAATTCATATCAATTCAATTATTACCTATCAAATCATCATCTATCAAAACCCCTTAAACTTGAACAAAACCTACTAAGCCAAAAGAGCAACTTCCCAAAACTATAAAAATATTCAAATCCAAACCAAAATCAAACCGAATCTTCCCAAACCACTCCCAAAGAACACACCCTTAGTGACTTGGAATAGTGAAAAGCATAGTGTAGTAGCTAGATCAACTGGTGAAGCAGAATTTCGAGCAATGGCCCATGGAATATGTGAACTTCTATGGCTGAAGATTATATTGGAAGAATTGATATTAAGGTCGGATGGACCTATGAGGTTATATTGTGACAATAATTTTGCAATTAGTATAGCCCACAACCAGGTGCATCATGATAGAACTAAACATATCGAGGTTGACAAATACTTTATGAAGGAAAAACTAGACAATGGCATGATTGACACACCATATGTATCCACCTAGGATCAATTTGCACACATACTCACCAAGGGGTTAAACAACATTAACTTTGAAGAAATTATATCCAAGTTGGGAATGGAAAACACCTATTCACAACTTGAGTGTGAGTGTCAAAACTGTGATTGTATTTGTGTATTTTAAGAAGATTTCTGTTTGCTATGTTGTATTTCTATCACAGTTGTATGTTGCCATTATTAGGTTTCCATATTTAGGATCAATCCCATAATCAGAGGGATTTGTTTTCCTTAGAATTATTTGTCCTAAAATAGGCTGCAGACCCATGTATATATAGTGGTTTAGTAACCTCATAATAGAAATAAAAAAAGAATTATCATTTCTTCCAAATTTGAGAGTAGAATTGAGGGCGAAGGGTTTATTCTTTTAGGTGTAAGAAACCCTTCCACAAGCATAAATGTCCTTTTAAGCTATTATGTGTGCTGGTGGCCGAAGATGAGAAGTTGAATCTCCAACCGTATGAGTAACACTCGTACTATTGAGGAGGACGTTCAAGAGATGAAGGGGGTTCGAATAAAGAAGATGGTGATTTTCCGATGTATTCTATGGTTTCTATCCCTCGCACTATGAGGGTTCATGGCGTGGTTGAAGGTTGCCCGTTGATGATTTTGATTGTTAGCGTTGTGAGTCACAATTTTATTTCTACTTTAGTTTTTATGCTATGAGTGAACCTAGATAAGATGGGCAATTCCAAATGTAGTTTGGCGACAGATATTGATTGGAGTTGGAAGGGGCAAACTGATAACTACCAATCTCGTTCCAGGGTAAGCTATTAAGGCAAATTGTTGGTTAAATGGGTAGGGCAACTGCTGGTTAAATGAGTAGGGCAATCAATTTATGATGCGAGTTGGGTGAGTAAAGTCAGTTTCCAAAGTCAGTTTTTGGCTCTCAACCTTGAGGACAAAGTTGTTTCGAAGGAGGATGAAGTTGATTGAGAGCAAAGACAAGAGCTCGGGAATGAGGTGGCTGCGAGGCCCCTGTTGGTGTAGGATGCACGGATAGACTTAAGCTTGCTTTCTCAGCCCTGGGGCTTTTACGAGTCTTTTACTCCTTTTGTTCCACATATAATGTCACACTTTTCATTTTCGTCCGTCCCACCTCTTATGTTACACACTTTAATCATATTTAAAAATTTCAAATTTTAATTTTTAATTATACTAATTAATTATGTTAACCTTAATCTATAATTATTTTTACTAATAAATTTTTAATTATTACTAACCATACATCTCTTAAGTTCCCGTGTCTACTTACTAGTCATTTCAAATATATAAAAATTTGATAATCTCTCCGTCCCAACCCAACTAAAAATACTTTTTTTTACCATTTTTGTCCGTCCATTCGAAAGTATCAATTTCCAATTATAGTATAAGTAATAACTACATAAATTACAATCATACCACACAAGACAAAATATCAAAATCATCTTACACAATTCCATTAACCAATAAAATACTCTTATGTTTTATCAACTACAAAAATTCAAATGTATACTTTCGTTTGGGACAGAGTATTATGTTTTGCGGTATTTTTATTTTTTTTATTAGTTTTATATATAAATTTAAAGAGATAAATATGTTAAATTTTGATTAATAGATTGATAGTATTAAAATTCATATTAAAAAAATATTACTCCCTCCGTCCCGAACACCTTGCAACATTTCCCTTTTAATGTCTCAAATGCCATGCAACATTTCAAAATAGGAAATAATTAATTACACTTAATTTCTACCTCACACTTTATCCCATCACATCACCTAAATAAAAAAAAAAATATACATTTCTCTTTCCATTACATCACCTAATTTCAAAATTATATACGTAATACTACCATCTAAAATTTCGTGCTGAAATAAAATGTTGCATCTTGTTTGGGACGGAGGAAGTATTTAATATAAGATAAACAAGTTATGTATTGATAAAAATATCCTCAAATTTACGGTAAAATGAATATTTTTTTTGTCAAAAATGCCACCTTATACATTTACTTTTTATATGAAAACTGTGTATTAGAAATTATAAAAATTTAAAATTCAAGAAACCATTAAAGAATAAGGGTTTGTTTGTTTCGTGTTTTGGTTTTGAATAAACTTTTTCTTATATGAGGTATAGAGAATTGTGTAAGTAATATAGAAATAATGAGTATGTATAATATAATAATTTTGTTTGGAATTTCACAAAAAGAGCACACCATAAGTCACAAGGTTTGTTCACTTTGGTGTGTTCTTTTGTGGGTTTTACAACAGGTTTTTACTATTCAGATTTTTTTTTTTCCTCCAAAAATATCACATCAAATAATTACTTTTTTTTTATATATCATACTACAAATTTATTTTACATTCAAAACATCACATCAAACAACTATTCAAATTTAACTTTTTACTATTAAAAAATTCAAACTCAAACTAAAATCCACAAACAAACACACCTTTTGTTTTTTTTAATATATTTGTTTTTTATATTAGATATGAAAAATTATATTAATAATGTTAAAATTAATATTTTATATTTAATAATTGACTTTTTTATGAGTTAATAAATATATATTATATATATTGTGTGTATGTATGTGTATATTGTATTTTTTAATAATATTTATAGATAATTAGCCCACTTAGAAAAATTAAATGAACAAATCCATTATTTTCAATAAAAATATATTATTTTATTTCACAAAATATTTATAAAATAATAAAAATAAATATTTTTAAGAACACTTTCATAGTTTTTAATAATTAATAAAAAATATTCAATAAATTTATAAACACTGAAAGAACACAATTAGTATTTAGGGATTTGGATTAGTTATTAGAAATTGTGAAAGTGTTAAAAGTTGTTGGATGTGTTCACCAAACTTTTTTTATATTGAGACAATCCCCGATGAATAGTAAGAAAAATAATACTCCCCTCGTCACATAAATATAATCTTAATTGGGTTGGGCACGAGATTTAAGGAATATTGGTATTATATGGGTTGTTCGTAAGAAGTATGGATAAAAGACTTTTTTGCCCTTGTGAGTGTATTAGTGTAAAAAGTAGTGGCAATTGTGTAATAAAAATAAAAAAGTAAGGGTAGTTTTTATGGTAATATGGTTATTTATGGAAATAAGACTATTGTTTTGGTACGGACAAAAATGATAAACAAGATTATTGTATTAGGTCGGACAAAGTATATGTATATACTCTTACACAATATATATACTATATACTATATATGCTCACAAAAAAAAAGAATAATTCAAAATAATATTTTACTTTTATATTATTCACTATTTTACATACTTAATATCAGAGATATATTCACTAGAAAAACACAAAGTGACCACATCCATTTATTTTTATTACTTCTAGGTCATTTAAATTATACTAACTTTCATAAAAAATATATATATATTTTTTTTTAAGTAAAAAATCATCACACTTTTTGTAATTTTTAATATAAAATGCAAAAATTAAAAAAATGTTAATATCTATATTAAAATTTGTGCCCACAATTTTAAGTATAGATTTAAACAAAATAATATTTATAGTGGTGGGACCTGCAGTAAATTTTATTTAAAAAAATAGAAATCATAAAAAATGCCCTCAAATATATATATATATATACTATTCATTGTAAGCAATCTTTCTTTTATTTGTTTGAGGACTGCTGCTTGATTGTAGAAATCTGTTGAATCATTTTTATTCCCAAACTTTTCTTGCCATCAACTACGATTTATGTTCAGGTTACTAGTTAACAAATAAATGGGAGATTATTAAGCATAAAGTCAAATCCATGTTAAATGTCAAAATAATTATGCAAAACTCCTTATTTTGCTCTCTTCAGATTACATTATAATTATGTGTACTCCATGTAACAGGAATTAATGTAGAAGGAATTCTGCGGCAGGCTGCAGATGTTGAGGAAGTTTATCGGCGAGTTGAAGAATATGAACAAGGTGCTTTAAATTGTATTGCATTTTACATTTATATTACTTGGCATAATGGGGATATAAGTTTGAAGGTTATTTGATTGTAGGGAAAACTGAGTTTGGTCCTGATGAGGATGCCCATGTCATCGGTGACTGTGTTAAGGTATTAAAATTGGAGTACCTGATTTCGGGTTTCTGGTTTGTCTGTGTGATGATTGCTAAAGTTATTTTCCTTCAGCATGTTCTTCGGGAGCTTCCTTCATCTCCCGTGCCTGCATCCTGCTGCACTGCTTTGTTGGAAGCCTTCAGTAAGTTCCCACCACGTTGCTTTAGATATTTTTGCTGATTTCCCCAACAAGTGCTTGTACGTCATCAATCTCACATCTCTAGAAATGCTTTGAATAATTTGGCTTCTTCTGGCTGCTTTCACAGAACTTGATCAGAAGGAAGCTAGGGTAAATGCAATGAACTCAGCTATACAGGACACATTTCCTGAACCCAATCGACGACTCTTACAGAGGTACCATGATACACTTGCTATAAATGATCTTTTAAATCTATCATAGATTATCCCCATTTAATCTATTTTACCATTTATAGAATTCTTAAGATGATGCACACAATTTCCTCGCATGCTTCTATTAATCGGATGATGCCATCATCGGTCGCTGCTTGTATGGCCCCATTGATCTTGCGGTCACTTTTAGCTGGTGAATGTGATTTGGAGGATGATTATGATGTCAATGGAGATGATTCTGCACAGCTGCTTGCTGCTGCAAATGCTGCTAATAATGCCCAAGGAATTATTACAACACTGTTGGAAGAGTATGAGAGCATTTTTGATGTATGTGATACCTATGTTTTGGTTCTTAAGTTGGCATTACATATATCTGTCGGATGACAAGAACATTTCCATTCTATATCCTAATTCTTTTTGAACCTTAATATCTGTTTATTCATGCATCCTTGTTGGTTAGTTGGTGTACATGTCATTAAAAGGTTAGCTAATGATGTTCTCAGAGAATATGCTGTCATGCAGCTCTTTAGATGAATGATTACTAGACATGTCCTATCTATATAATCAGAAAATTCTAATGCACATTGCTTCTTCCTGCAATCATTCTCACTTACCCCTTTCCGTAAATGTGAACTGAAAATTTAGATGTTAGGTGGGTGTCTTCTTTATGTTTTCTCATTTCATTCATGAATCTTAGTTGTAACTTTTGTGATGAGCTGGTGCGCTACAATTGCTAATGCAGTTTCTTGTGCTGTTTAAATATTTCTCTTGGCTGTTACCTTTTAGAAATTTTAGCGGCTCTTTGTTGAATCACCATAATTCTTTCAGGATGATAATCTACACAGACGCTACATATCTGGTGATACTCAATCTGATAGTAGTGGAAGCGAAGATGTGAGCAATGATGAACATCATGACATAAAGGTCAATGGTTATCATGATGCTGAAAATGAAGTTGACCCTGAAGTAGATTATGACCGTGATCGCAGACTCAGTGGGAAGTTAAGTGAAAGCAGTGGCTCTGCTGCCAGTGATCTCTATGAGGTTCTCTCTTCCCTCAACTACCTGCATGCTTGCATATGGATTCTTTACGACTCCAATATTGGCCTCCAATAGCAAATATTCTGTATTTGTTTTTCTATTTATGCTATGTTATCTTATGTTACTTTTTGGTGATTTTTTTGTCTATTCTTGTCTAATTTGGTCAATGATGTCCTAAATTCTAACAATAGGGATTATACTTGTGATAGATCTATATAACACTTTAATCCTATAAGGTGAGGTAATTATTCAGCTATTCTAACATGGAACTAAGTCAGAAGTCTTGCGTTTAATTCTCCACTGGTAGAATATAAAGTGGCTAAGCTACTGGGATTAAAAAGAACACTACTTCCTTTGAAGGGGTCATTTGAGCAACTGAAATAATAACTAATAAATTCCTTGAGAGAAGTTTACTTGAGGCTGTTGCTACCTAAAACACAACTATGGTGTACTGATTTGTACTTAATATTGCTTCTAATTACAAGATAACAAGAATCAAGGAAAATGTTTTTCACAAAGGATCTCCATAACAATAGTTTTTACTTGAGAAATAGGTCATTAATTCACTCAATTGTTTATTTAATTTATTTTTTTCTTCTCATAGTTTACATTTTTTTTAACAAAGTAAAACTTGTTTAATACCTGCTCATTCATGTGCTTCGGTAATCCACACAAAGAACTCAAGAACTATTTGCTGAAGTTGCTTTTGGTGCCTTTAACCCCAGGCAATTGGCAATGATGATCTGGATAATGAGTCTCCCATGGACGGTTGTACTTTGGCAGCAAAATTAAATCAAATGATGGCCAATACATCTGCTATTGGTTCTAATCAATTAGTCCATGAGCAACTAGATCAACAAAAGAAGGCACATAACAACACAACATATGCTTCTACTGAAGTACTTGGTGGTGAGTTGCAGTCATCCAAGACTGACGTCTTGACATCTATAGATCAAGAGCTCCGGCAATCAATTCCTGGATCAGAACTGGTGACTGAAAGTCCAGTTTCTAAACTTCCCAATTCAAACCCCAGTACCAAAAAATCCACATTTTGGGGGAAGAGAAATGTGAGTTTTTCCTTTAACACAATGGATGTTTTACTTTATTACCAAAGCTTATAATTCAAAATATAAAGAAATACACACAGCCAATTATGATATGAACCAAATCTAGGCAAGTTTGGATGGAGTTTTGACCAATTTGTGGCAGCATTGTGAATTCAGTTGTGTAGCTTGCCACTTTTCTAGATAAATATTTACCTTTTCCTTTTCTTTCTTATGTTTTTGCAGGCAAGGAATACTCCTTCAACAGAATCAATTGATTCTTCTGGGGAGGAAGAGTAAGCTTATCTTATATCGTGTTGATTTGTCTCACTTTGTAGAATCGTCTCATATAATAAAACCTTCGGAAGTTTATATGGTACATTATATGACCAATTACTTGAGAGATTAAACTAGATCTACTTCTGACTATTTTATATAATATGTTGTTGAATTGGTCCAGTGATTTATGCAGTCATTTTAATGGCTTCAGCTCATCAAATTATTATGGTCGGGCTGATGGGTTTAGGTGGTTCTTCTAGCTACGCTTAATGATTATATTGGTGTCTGATCTACATTAGTTGATTTGTCTAGGAGATGATAAAGGCTTTGCATAGAAACAGCTAGGATTTTTTTTATATGTAATTCATTCCCATGCATGTGATCAGGTTATCCTTGGCATTGGGCTCGTATTCTATCTACAAAAGACAAGTAAAATTGCCTTGTGTTTCCAGCTGTACTTATGAATTATTCTTTAGAATACTTACATCCTTAATATTATTTTTTAATATTTGTACAGTGTCTGTTGATGCCTCATACCAGATCAGTTCATTGTCTTTAGCATCTTCTTATCACGTTCAAGCCCAATAAACTCTTTTGCAGGGTTGCCATCCAAAGATTGGAGATTGCAAAGAATGATTTGCGTCGTAGGATTGCCAAAGAGGTAAACAATTGGGATTTGGGAATTTTCTGCACTACTTTATGCCTATGTAAGGATTGACATATTCAGTTGTCAGGCACGAGGAAATGCAATTTTGCAAGCTAGCTTGGAGAGAAGAAAGCAAGCTTTACATGAGCGCCGGTTGGCACTTGAACAGGATGTAAGAGATGGCTAAATTTTGATTTTGAATAAGTTCGAATTTTAACTGGATGTCACGATTGAATATATTTTTGATTAATAATTTATCTGTTTATATAAGACTAGATTCTGGAACTCTTTTGGGATTTAAAATGCATGAGTGTATGTAGATTTTTCTTAATGTCATCCTTCATATTCTATTTTTATTTATTTATTTTCTTTCTGAAAATTTGGTACTTGAGTTTAAAAGTAAAATACATTTTCTTTTAAATATTCACCTTGCACAATACTTGCTTGAAAAGAGATCCATTTAGAACTTGATAATCTGTAATTAAACTTTTGATACAAAATGTTGATCTAAGATTATATGGATTATATACTTTTGCCTCTAACATTGTTAATGTGTTAAAAAGAATCGGCAGTGTCATATGTTTCTCCTGAAACATCCTACTTGTATTAGTCGGACATGTGGTAGTTACATTTTTGTTTTATCTTCACTAGGTAGCAAGACTGCAAGAGCAGTTGCAAGCTGAGAGAGATCTACGAGCTGCTCTGGAAGTTGGCTTGAGCATGTCTCATGGCCAGGTTTCTGGCTCTCGCGGCATGGATTCCAAGGTCTATATTTTTTTGAATCTATTAAAATTTGCTAAATTAAATTATACATTCCTATAGTGGCTTAAGCTTTTAAATGTAGTCTTCTTTAGTATAAGTAAGTTGTCTGACAATGTTTAAAGATGTTGAACTTGTTGGTTGATTCCGGTAAAATATAAATAAATAAATCCTTACAAGTTTATGCTCTTAGATGAGATGGATATTTAACATCAATTAATATGGTATCATAGCCGGCAAAACCCATGTTCGAGTCTAGCCGCCAATCATTCGTCGTTGTCCACATGCAAAATTCATAGTGGCGATACCCACCTTACACGTGAGGGGACGTGTTGGTTGACTCCTGTAAATAAATAAATAATGCGTATTCCTACAAGTTTAAGATTTTAGTTGAGACGGTCGTGTAACATCAATTAACCACATATTTTAGATATTTAGTTTATTATTAGATTTGGTGGTCTTTAGGTTATGATTTGATTTTATCAATTATGTTAGGTTTTTATTATTCGAGTCTATCAGAGCCTATATGTCACTTCTTTTTTCATTATAAATACAATGCAACTTTTGAATTGTCTACCCAATTTCTTCTCACAGAAATATTTGCTTGCTATGCAGACGAGGGCTGAACTTGAGGAGATCGCACTTGCTGAGGCAGATGTCGCCAGATTGAAGCAAAAAGTTGCAGAACTTCACCATCAGCTGAATCATCAACGCCAGCATCATCACCATGGCTCCTTTCCAGATGCAACTCACAGATATCAACATGTTCCCAATCAAAATTTGCAGCAGTGAGTTTCACTCCCCTTCCTCATGCTTCAAAATTTTTTTCCATATTACATAATGTACAAATGAAAATTGACCAAGGGCTATGAAACAATTAAGGAGTCTGGTGCATGTCTAAATTCAGATAAACCTAATTGCTGTGTACCTATGCTACATATTCCCGAGAAACATGTCTTGATTTTTTCATTCCTCTCATCTTTTCATATTTTTATGTCGCATGATCAAGGAGAATATTTTTTACTATGAAGACAATGAAACAAAGTTGTTATCTGTAAAAGAGGTTAAGAAATTACTCTGATTTGAATTAAAAAAAATTGATTTAGTGGAGGTAAGATGCGAAATGCTAGTGCCTTATTTTGGTTATAGGATTAAATCTTCTGGAATGAAATTTCACTATTTGTGATGTATTGAAAGATTTTGACATGGCAATGCAGGAAATATTTTCTACAGGATTTTGATACCACACTTGCTGTTTGTAATCACGAACGTAAACAAAGAACAGAGGTAATTATTACTGGCATAATTTTTTTCACTCCCTTTTCAGCTGTTGTTTAGTTTACTGACTTCATTTGTTCCAATTCATAGCTGAGGTTTGTTGGTGGTGTCCTCTTTTGATATTTTGCTTTTTGATAAATCTTCCTTTATTTTTTATTTATGTTTCTATAGCTGATTTCTTTTGGTTGAACAACAGACTTGCAACCCTTTGTTAATAAAGTCGTAACTAGCAAGCTTCTTGTTCCACAAAAAAATGATGGCCATAGCCCTAAATTACGTTTAATTTATATATATGTATATTTATATATTAATTATCGTGTGCTCACCTTAATTTCAATCTACATCTAAAACTGAGCTAAATTTCAATGTCACATTTTCACTTGTATGATGTTTTCATGATCTCCAGGAGTTGTTTGGATCAGAACTGCGGAACATCAATAGCCAAACAATGACCACTGGCAGCAGTAGCAGGCAGCCTCTTCGGAAGCAGTTTTTAGAATCGACAAACCTGAGTGACACCAAAAATAGCGAGGCATCCACTAGCTCATCCATCGACTATCTTGGCGCTGTTGATTCTCTTTCTTTTCCTTCCACTTCAAGGACAGTACCTGAGGTAAGACAAAAATATTCATTATTTTTTCAAACGTGTTGAGTTGAGTGAGTCAAGTCAAGTCAAGTTGTGTGCTGCATTTAGTACCCCAAACTCGACTATTACATACATTTGTTGTACAGATGATGGAACATCCACGGCACCCTTCTTCAGTGTCATCGTCAACTCTGGTAGAACTGACAACACGGCTCGACTTCTTCAAGGAGCGTCGGTCTCAGCTGATGGAACAGCTCCACAACCTGGATTTGAACTATGGATCATCCTCACCTCAAGATTTTGTGTATAAAATGTCTTCTCCTCCTTGGAACTGAAATCAAAAAATACTTCCTACGGATATAATGTATCAAGAATGTATGTATGTACAGTCTAGTCTATTATCTGTTGCAGTGTTGTATATATATATATATATACATATTATATCTAAAGTTTTGGACAACATTGGAGGAGATCCCTTATTTTTATTTTTGTTATTTATTGACAATGAAAGGTTGATGGAGATTTCTATGTCAATTGTGATTTTTATCGTGCGTGCATTTGGGTGTACATTTTCTGTTGCACTGTGGTTTGTACACTTCGTTGGAGTAATTCCACTTTCAAGGTTAAGAAAAGAGTGTTATTAGATGTAATGTGTTGATTAACTCTAATCTATTAACTAAGAATTTCGTTGAATGGTTAATAAATATTCTTGGGAATGATACTAATAAACTAATATTCTAATTTCAAGTTTTAGTGAACTACATCTTCTCTCTAGCCTTTATTATTTATTTATTTTTGCAAAGGTGGCAATGTAAGTAGATATAAATTTAAGACGGTGGTTAACATGACAAATGAGGCTGCGCTCATAGTTGATAATACTTCCGTCCTATAAAATTATTCCATTTTTTTAGCTTTTAGAAATTATTTCACTTTCCTAATATAATACAGTAATATTTAGTAAATAATAACTAAAAAAAATAAAAATAACTATATTTAATTAAATTATTAATATTTCTAATTTTATAGTTTATTTGATTGTTTTGAAAGTTGAGTTAGAATTTCAAATAATAAAGATTAAAATAAATATTTAATATAATATAAACAGATATATGTAGAATGTTTAAAACTTAAATTAGTTTTTAATGTAATTGTTGATGTATTTTTTCAACAAACAAAAAGTAAAATGCAAAGATATGGAAAATATCTTTAAACTTGATTAATTATTGTCTGATATTAGGAATCTCTAAACACTATACGGTACATAAGAAAATTAACTGGAAAATAAAATGCTGGAAATTTAAAGTGGTGATCCACAAATCTGACTTTGGTTTGTTGAAGTTGATTGAAGATGGCTTCTAAAAAAAAATCCAAATCCTTAAATACTCCCTGAGAAACTGTACTGGAAACCGTCGCTCGAACGGTTACAACGTCTCATTTTCAACCGTCTGCCAACCCTTCTCCTGTTGACACGTGTCCTCAGCAGACCAAAATCATCACTCTATTTCACTATTTGAACCGACCACAGACCTTCCGCCCTTTTGGCCCGACTTCCAATCTACCGCCCTTTTGGTCCGACTGCCAATCCTCCCGACTTGCAAACCATCCGACTCGTTTGGTCCAGCCGCAAATGTCCCGACTAATAGACCATCCGACTTGTTGGTCCTTTCGACCTGAGGACCTCCCGACCTGAAGACCTTCCGACCTGGTTGGTCTAGCTGCAAACGTCCCGACTTAAAAACCATCCGACTTGTTGGTTTAGCCGCAAACGTCCCGACTAAGAGAACGTCCGACTTGTTGGTCCTTTCGACCTGAGGACCTCCCGACCTGAAGACCTCCCGACCTGAGGACCTTCCGATCCTGAGGACTTTTCATCTTGAGGACCTCCCGACCTGAGGACCTTCCGTCCTGAGGACTTTCCGACCTGCGGACTTCCCGACCTGAGGACTTTCCGACCTAAGGACTTTCCGAACTGCGGACCTTCCGACCTGAGGACTTCCCGACCCAAGGACTTTCTGACCTGTGGACCTTAGAAATATATCTTTTTTATCTGAGTTTTCCATGGTACCCCTCGGCCAGTTCGATCAACTCGATTGCTAGGCCCATTTTTCTTTTACCTTAGGCTTTTTAACCTAATTCTAAATTTCATACGTAACAACTTGCCCGCCGCCAAGGGACTTTCAAACGGTATTTATCAATCGTCGTTTGGAAGTTCATAAATCACAACCCTCCTGAAAAATTCCTTTAGCAACTGCACCAGTTACTACAACACTCCTGACCAACTTCCCTTTCTTCAATATGAGCCTTTGTGAATCACAATCTCAACAACTCTAATCATGGCAAATCGATACGTCCCTGCACTTCCCATCGATGGATCAATCCCTGAAACCACTCTTATATCGACGAAAATGCACACACCAACTGTTCGTCCATATTGCACAACTGTTGAAGACTCCAACCGTATGAGGGAAGTCTTGGAGGCAAAGAATCTGCTGGCGATCAACAGCCCCAACTACAACGCGACTCGTCTTCATGACAGCATCAAAACACACTTGACAGATCCCAAGGATCCTTACCGCACCTGGTACCAGAGAATAGTAGAACATTACCAGGGTCAATGGCAAACTCAACAAATCGATCAAGCCATACGTCTGTCAACTCTCCCATGCCATTTACATGAGAAAGTCCTCCTGACCATGGCAGCGTTTTGGCACTCTGAGGTTTGCACCTTCCTTTTTTCAACAGCCCCCATCGGCCCCACTCTCATGGACGTAGCCATGATCGCTCATCTGCCAATCGTTGGGGAAGACCCTGTTATGGGTGCCCTAGATGGGCAAGAGCCCAACGCAGACCACTTGGGCTGGTCTCTGACAGATGTGAGAGAATGGGGCTGGACCAAATTTCTAAATGACCAACAAGGAGCCGACGGGACCCCTGTAACCGACCGAGAGCACACAGCTTTTCTGCTCTTTTGGCTCTGTAAGTATGTTGTAGTCTCTCATTCGAAATGGTCCTACCTTCTCATCTTGATCTTGCTATACACATAGCCTCGGGTCGATTCTTTTCGTTGGGCACCTTTTTCCTTGCCAATCTCTTTGAAGGGCTATCCAAGGTCAGTGTCCGCCTTACTGATAAAGATGGTAAGAAGTTAGACACTGCTGCGCCGGGTCCTTTTTGGTTCCTAGAACTATGGTTCCGTCTCTATTTTCCCAACACCTTCCAACTTGGTCATCCTCCCGTTGCCCCCACACTTGAGAAGTCTCTAGGAGTAGCCCTTAACCAACTTTCTTAGGTCGTAATAACCTCCAAGTGTCTGATCCCATCATAACTGCTATCCTTACTGATAATCGAAATGATAACCATTATTACCCACACAAAAGGTATATCGGTTATGCATCCGACTTGTTTTGGCCATTCCCTGTTCCATCATCTTTGTCTCAACCAAATCCACTTCTACATCCAACTTACCCTTTTTTTTGGGATGTTGCCCTTAAACCCAGGTCTTTATTTACCAGCAAGAAAATCGATAAAAAGGGTCCCAAAATATTTAATACCTTCAACTATCAACCTCAATTTATGGCACGCCAATTCGGCTGCCAACAAGGCTTGCCTGGTCCCATTACTCATCCCCATTTAATAATTCAAAGTCCGGATGGTAGAGCAATTTCTGATGCAATCGCCCCCCATACATATCCCAACTCACAAATTATACACTTCCAACTCTTACATTCCTTGGGCCTTGATCGCCCCTGACAAGGATCGTTTATTGGGCATCCTTCTTCCCCCACCTGCAATAACATTATGGGCAACCTCTCTGACCAACCCCCGAAGGAACTTGATCACTCAAGGCACTGAGTCGGGTGCTCCACAGAGGAAAAGAAGAGCCTCTCAAACTCAAACTATTCCCCCTTCTGGGGACAGTCAACTGTCCCCAACAAAGCGCTCATCAGGTCGGCCCCCTATGAGGACCCGACCCCGTCCAGGTATAATCTCATATTCTCAATTTAACTTGATCCTTACCTTAACATAGTATTAAACCTTATTTTTATACTCAGGTATGACTTTGGCTCAGGCGACCGCCCAACCTGTCTCCAGACCAGCTAACGCAGCAAAGTCACCAACCGACCAACTACCAGGACTCGAGCCCCCGACCAAACACCGAGTCTCAAAGAAACTACCTCATCCCATCGAGCAGGCAACAACAAAGGTCTCATCTCCCAGCGAGGCAACTGCTTCAGAGATGGGCAGGTTACCTTACGTTGCTTCAGACCCTTCTCTGCCTATTATATCACCGGTCACCATGCCCATATCTACTTCTGCTGCCCCTGCTACAAACGCTCCAGACGCGTCAACTCAAAGGGCAGCCGACTTGGGAGTAACCGACCTGGCGGTTGCCGACTTGGAGGTTGCCGCCCCAGGGGCAGCCGACTTGGAGGTTACCGACCCAGGAGCAGCCGACCTACCTCCAGCGGCGGACAGACAGGATGAAGAACCTGTACCTGCTCAACGAAGGGGGCTCTTACAGGAGTTACAAGAGATCCCTTCTTCCGAATCACAGACTTCTGTTAATCTAGTAAAGACTTGAAATCCCTTCCTCCAAAGTACCAAAATACAAGCTAACATGACCTTTGACACACTATATTTCCACCATTCAGGGACCTAGATCCGTACCTCAGCATCCACTCGAAGCAGCCGACGAATCAGCTATCGAAATACCAACCGCCTAACCCTCCAGACTTTGGGTTATTTTGGTACCTTCAGCGACCACCATCCATCCAGAGGTACGTGCAACCTTGCACAATTAATTCTTAAACATTTATTTCTCCATTCAGCCTGAGATAAACATCTTTTATTTCTGGGATGTCCTGATATAGCCCTCTTGTCGGCGGTCCCCATTCCGACGGACGTCCGAACTGTAATTGCACAAGCTGTTGACCAATCTTTCCCCGACCTGGGGTCAGACTTGCTTGACAGCCTTCTTCAAGCTGTTGGTGGTCTCTTGTTCCAAATGTCTTCAGAGTCGGCTGCTGCCCCCATTCTCCATCAATTAATGGAACGACTATCCGAACTCTGGAATGAAGTTCTGTTCGCTCAACTTTTGATAGCTGAGACACCCTCACCTAATTTGGAACACATAAGTCTGGAGGCTTCCTTGACCAAAACCAAAGAATCCATCCAACAGGCAATTGGCCAACTAGAAGGCCTGAATAATGCCAAGGCACAGATAGAGGGGTCAATCCAGCAAAAAGAGGCAGAGCTGAGGGCGCTTCAACAAGAAAGGTCTGTCCTGGAAGGACATATCAACGACAAGCAACGCTTGATTGATCGATACCAAAGCAATGCAGCCGATCTAGACCAGGAGTTGAAGATTCAAGCCCGATCCCAACTCATAAAGCAGTACCAGTCGGCTGCTAATAACAGGCGACGCTCCAGAACATAAGACAAATGGTCCCAAATAAAACTTGTATTAGGATCTCTTTTGTAATTTCTGACTTGGTAAATAAAATTTTTCTCCTTTTATTAAGGATCACCTTCCAA